CTTATCGAGTTTGACTCTGTTTGAGCACACACACACAGAGAGAGAGAGAGAGAGAGAGAGAGAGAGAGAGAGAGAGAGAGGTGGTTGTATACATGTGCGATCAGCGAGATGTGATACTCGAGCTCGTCTGGTTTGTTTAAATTGACTTTTTCGTCCTTCCTCTTGAACTTTTTCTGTGTCTGTATTTTTCTTGCTGCCCTCTCTGCTCCCTTTTCTGTTTTCCGATGGCATCAACCATGGGTGAAGGTTGTGAAGCCTCTACCTCGAGTGCTCCTGCTGCACACCGGTGGGACTCTAGGTATGGATCCGAAGGTGCGGATGAACCAAACCTCTCCCACATTCTCTCTCTTTCTCCCTGTGTGTGTGTGTGTGTGTGTGTGTGTGTGTGTGTGTGTGTGTGTGTGTATTGCGTGTGTATTGCGTGTGTATTGCGTGTGTGTTGTGTGTGTGCAAGTGAGCGGAAAATAAATATTTCAAAGAAAAAAGAATATAAGGAAAGAAGTTTAAAGAACTCAATGGTCTTTGTTGCTTGCTTTTTTTTTGTTTGTTTTTTAGTCCCCTGGGTGTTTTTCAACATTTTTCTGAATAAACACAAGGTGAGGGGAATGAGAACACAAAACAAAACAAAAAAAAACAAAAAACACAAAACAAACGTAAAGAAAGAGGTAGAAAAAACCGCAGAGGTTGACGTTGGCATGATCTGGAGAGTGCAGGTGCTTGGGGTCCGTATCCAAATGTCCGTAATCTTTGCAGTGGAAGCAGGTAGGTGAGGTTTTGGTTTATATCATCACAAATTTAAAGTGGACGACGTGCCTTCAATAGTATATGCATTCCGATTTATCCGGGAAGATAGGGGCCTTAATGCCCGCCTCATCTGTTGAGACATCCAGATCCCACCTACCTCCCAATTATATAAAGGGGTTGTGTCTTATGTGTAAGGAGAAAAAATAAATAAAACATAAAAAATAAAGAGGTAGTATTGACAGAAAGAGCTTGCTGAAGTGTATAATAGTCCTCTTTGCTTGAAGCTTGCTGGAGGGTATAATAGTCTTCTTTGCTTCACATTTCTCAGATAACGAGGCAGGGTGTTTCATAGTACTGAGAAATGTGAAGTCCAGAGACAACCTTGCATTTGTGTTGTGCAGGGAAAAAAGGATTAATAATTTAATATGTGATTTGTATCTCTATCTTGAACGACCATTTCGGCAAAATGGACATTTTGTATTTTTTGAACGAAATTGAAACCGAGTTTTTTGTCCGAAAACTCGTCAAAATTTGCTGTTCCTGAGGGTCCAGCGTTTAACGCTGGACCCTCAGGAACAGCAAATTTTGACGAGTTTTCGGACAAAAAACTCGGTTTCAATTTCGTTCAAAAAATAAAAGATGTCCATTTTGACGAAATGGCAGTTCTTGGTAATGTGCCCGATAACGTTGTGACTGGTGAGAGATCCAGAAAATCAAGACATTGACTAGTTATGCCACCTTCGATGGATACCTTTTCTCAGCTTTTTGACTAAAAATAGATCAAGTGTAGTGTATCTGTTCTGATGATCAGTTTAATATCTGATCCGTGGTCCGCACATGAAAAAAAAAAAAAAAATTGTCGCCTTCAATGGCCCACGTGTAGTGTTTTTTTGGTAGATCAAGTGAAATGTATGTGTTCTGATCAGTTTGATATCTGATCCGTGGTCCACCCGGCCACCTTAAAAAAAAAAAAAAAAAAGTCGCCTTCGCTGGCCCACGTTTGGTGTTTTTTTGGTCCCTGGTACCACTTTCCCAAAAAAAAAAAAAAAAGAGTCGGAGTGGCGGAGCGTCTGCCAGGCTGTTGGTTCAGATGTTCTCCTGCTCTTCGTAATGTCTCGGCTCTCCGTCCGCATATGTGAACTGCTGGTAGTCTTCTTTTTTTTCTTTTTTTTCCCCCTACTGTGGATGCAGCTGCTGAGTTGGAATCCAAGCGGGAGGGGGGGGGAGGGGGGGAGGGGGGGAGGGAATCAGAAAAAAACAGTCTATGTTACCAGAGTGGCTGGGGACAACTTGCTCGGGCCAGAAATGGATAAAGAAAACTTGTACATTCTGGGTCCGTGGGAAACAAGCGTTAATGCAGCGGCGATAGCGGCGGTGGCGGTGCCCGGTCTTCGTTGGCCGCGGCTGAGTAGACGCAGCATCTGAGCTTTTGATGTTCTATATTTCTCACAAGGCGCCTACGCTGCCAGGCACCAAGCTGTGTGGGAGCTATGGCGACAGTGCCCTGGTGTAGCCTAACCCTTGAGTGGGTAGGGAGTGCCTTTGCACTCTTACGCCAAGGCACCCTGGCAGCCCTGTATCCGACCTCTATACCTACTTACACCTATGAAGACATCGACACCAGAGGAGCTGTCCTTCCCATAAGCCTTCAGCCGAAGGGGGGGCTCCTTTCTTACCATCTAATGGCCGCGTGGTTCGCTTTCATTTATATGTCATATTAACGACGTTGAATCTATATCTATCAACTAAATACACACATTGAGGAGGGCCTAGGGCAAATATTGTAAAGAATCCTGGCGGTATTGCAGCTTGCAGTGGGAGAACACGCTGCAATGGTCCGAGCGCATCAGCAGTTTCAAGAGCAGGAGTACCAGCATCCCCAGTCACATGTGCTATTTCAAGTATGTCTCCAGTGACATGTGTTATTTCAAGTATGAGGAGAAGAGATTGTTATGGTGGGAGAATGTTTCGTCACGATGGCTGAGTGGAATAATGGATGTTTGCGATTTTTGTTCCTGGTCTTGCTTAGTGGTTAGATTCCTTATAATTAATTTTGAGACGAGTATGTTCATTTTACTTGTTGAGGAATTTAGACAATGGCTTTGTACCTAGGATAGATTCATTGTAACCTGCTCTATCTGTCGCTTGGAGATTAACGTATTAGGCACTTGGTTCCCGTATTTCGTTATGGATTTTATGGAGGATGGACTCTAGGTGATGGCTTTTCTTCTGTTATTCAAAGTTGGTTCCTTCTTGTAGTGTTTTCTATTAGCCTATTAAGTGCGGTTTTATCATGGCTACGATCCGGACGTCCGGACCGCCGTCCAGACGGTCTGGATTCAGTCCGGACTCCAGACTTCTGGTCTGGAAGGTCCGGATCTGCCAACATTCGA